ATTCCTTCCCTGAATTTCTTTTCGGGGAACTGAAGGGCCGTGTCCGCAAAGTGCATAGATGGGACCAGACCGGTGACACCGTCAGCCAACGCGACGATCAAGCCATCTAATCCGCTTGGTCCGATAAGCAGCTTCTCAATTTTTCCTTTGACGACAGCGCCAACGGTAACATCCTCGATACGAAGGAAAGGCTGGTCAATAACCGATCTCTCAAATGACAAGAGATACAAATTATCGAGGGCACTGTAACCAATAACCCTTCCTTCATGGGTGGAATCTGTTCGGAATGGCCCGTATTCGGCAGAAATGCTTTCAACCTGCCCATCTGCTAGCTTCGACACATGAACGAATCCCACGTGTTTTGTGGATCCAATTTGTACGTAAACTCCGAGGCCAGGATCAACCTTGATCACCTTCGCCTCAGGCACGATAGCAGAAATGGCTGGCGCATCTTCAGAGCTTCCAGGTCCTTGGGCTTCGGAAGTAAATTTGCAGACATTGTCGAGCAATGAAAAGCCGACCTTGTATGGATCAGAGGCGGGGAAGGTGGAGATAAGGCGGCCCTTGACTTTGGCACCAATCTTATATTTATTAGCCAGATCGTCCTTGCTCGAGTTACCACCGGATTGCACCAAATCCACAGTCGTATCTAGCATGCCCATTATCTTTCCAGTGGCTCCGCTTGAAGTGACTTCAGTCAAAAGAATCTCAGCTGCTGTGCCTGGAAGGAAGGAGTTGATCGTAGGCGCTGTGCTGAGATAATGAGACTTCTTTATAGATCCGGAAGATTGCAGGTTGGCGGACAGCTTCAAGACACTACCGTTGGCGTTCTGGCCAGTGACCATGCAGAGGAAGACTGATCCTTCCTTAATAGTCGAGTAATCCGTCTTGGGATCAATTTCCTTTTTGGACATGAAGCCCTTGATATCGGCGCCCTCGATCCCCAAGTCCATAACCAAACCATGGTCTTCGACGCTTACAACCGACGCTTGCACGGCAGTGTTGTCGACGAGATCGGATTTCAAAAGTCCAAAATTGGCTTGCCTCGGGTCAACCGTGAGCTCGATGCGTTTTCTACTCTTGGAGCTAGCATCTGCCGCATTGTTTCCAACAGATACAACATATGCGCGTAGATATTGGCCCAGATAGAAATAATCGCTCAATTCAATGGAATCTTCGTCGTCGTCCTCATCGTCCTCATCATTTTCGTCTTCGTTTAGAAGATTCTCAATCTTCTCTTCTAATCTTTTCGATACCGCTGTTAAGGGAACGTAGCCGGTAAGATTGTTTGGTAAGGAAAGACCGATGTCATGTGCACTGATGCTTGAGACTTGACCTAGCACCATGGTTCCGGGTACAACACGCTACACTCGTCAGCAACCTTCCCCAAATTATATTTAAGGTATTCTTGGTAAGCTTACCTTGAAGTTGAGGCCTTCAATTCGCACACCCTGTTTTTCTTCCGCTTCATCTGCACCTTTCTTGCTTTTGTTCTTGCGTTTACGAGACTTCTTCGTAGCTGTCGCTGTAGTGTCGTCCACATCTTCCATCTCTGCATCTTCGTCATGCTCATCATTCTTGTAAGAACCCTTAGTCGCCTTCTGCTCAAAGAGAACATCTTTTGTGGCTTGAATTTGGATTTGCTTCCGTTCAAGAGGCGTTAAGACACTGCCTCCACCACGAGGGAAGGATGGCTCATCGTCACGTAAGACTGTGAGCTCTGAGGCCTTGGGGCCCGAACCTGCGTCAGGTTTTGACTTCTCATCACCAGAGGCGCCTGTCTTGTGTTTCTTCTGATCCTTGCGCTCTTCTGCCCCAACTCGTACACGTTTTTGAGGTTGACGGGCAGATGCAGCCTCCTCAGCAGAGGCGCCCTTGCGCTTAATTGGAGCCATATCTATAAGATAAGACTTGTTGAGCTGCTCCAAAGCTCTAAGTCCGGACACAAATTTGGCGGAGTAAAAAAAATAAAATTTCTAGACTAAAAAGCCGATCGCTCAACCTGGACCGCCTGCCTAATGCGGTAGCTAGATCTACCTTAATTGAATGACTCACCGCCTGCCGCAATAAGCGACTCGCGTCACGAAAAGGCACGTCGACACGAGACTCGACGACTTTTTCCGCGACGTGAGCATTGCTGGACGAGTATTAGTCCTCCTGCGAGCTCCACTATGCTTCTGTCTTCTGCCACTTAGCCCCAACACCCTCTTTTCTCTCCACTCGTTCCTGTAGAATGTCTCTGTCTGCCTGCCTGCTTCTCTTGATGGCACAATGATTGGCAGTCATGATCTCCCCGAAGTACCACGATCCGAACCTGTTTTCCCTCTACCATCGCAGGAGCTCCCTTCCTCCCCGCCGTCAATAGTATCAGATGCTGGTGTCCGACGCAAGCCCAAGAAACCTCCTCCTGTCACACCACGGTCATTTAGGAGGTTTTTTACCCCCCGTTCTATGCTCAATGGAGGGAGTAATGCTAGCGATGTGAGGACGAATCGGCAGGCCTTGAAGGCTCTGAGTTCTCCAGCTGTCAATCGCTTGGGACCGGCTTTCACAAGGACCTTAAAGGCTGTTGCAAATAGGCCGGAGCCTTCAGAACTTCTGCGCACTCCTAGTAGGAAGCGAAAGTTCTCGTTTTCTTCGATTGGCTCGCCTCTTCAGTCATCGCCCCTAAGAAAGGTCCGCATGAGAACCCCAATTCAAGATGAAGAAGAGGTGAATGTCACAGTTCGCGACCTCGAAGTGAACACCGAGATACAAACTAGCGAACCAAAACCACAAGTTATTGCTAAACCGCCTCGTCAAGTGACACCTGTTCGACGGTCGCAAGCGTTGCAGACATCTGGACAGTTTTTCATGCGGAGTGTCATCGGTGCACGGGCGAACCGGGTGACTATTCGATCTAATTCCGGAGCTGGTTGGTAATTTATTCACACAAATTCTTACAGCACATTCTCACTGTGGTTAAGATTGGCAGGATTTGACATCAACATTTTACTCGCGGCCTTCTGACAGCCATACCTGTGCTAGTTCTACCGGAGATCGCCTTGCCCTTCCCTTTTGTACTGCAACTTGTAACAGTGAGTCAATCCGATTTGACAATATGCCCCCCCTCGGGGCGCCGCCCGTTCTTGCACTGACTGTTTCATAGCGAACACTCTCGTTGCTGTTGGCGATGAAGAAGGAGGTATTCGACTGTTGGATTCCGCTAAAGATGACAAGAATGGCTTTTCAAAGGCCTACCTTTCGTTTCGACCTCACATGAACGCTATTATGGACCTGGAGTTTTCATCAGATGACATGCTACTCGCAACAGCCTCTGGGGACCAAACAGCTCTGGTCATCGATATGGCTACACAGAAGCCGATATACTGTTTGTCGAACCATGTTTCTTCAGTGAAACGGGTGCAGTTTCAACCTTCAGCCAACAACAAAGTCCTCGCAACTTGTAGTCGCGACGGTAACGTTAACATTTGGGATCTTCGCTGCAAAGGCTTTGAGAAACCTTCCCTCCAAGTTCGATGCTCGCTCGAATCCGACTCTGAGTATGCAGCTGCCCCCGTCGCCTCCAAGATGACATATCCTCAGGTTTTAAACACAATACACGGTGCTCACGCATGGATGCCTCAAACCCCCGCTTCCGAGAAGCTAGAGCCTCAAATTGGGCGTTCTGACATCACTGTAACTTCATTGGCCTTCCTTCCGCCTGGCCGCGAAAACCTATTTGTCACAGCATCTGAAGCCAATGCCTGCGTCAGACTATGGGATCTACGGACAGCACATAACAACCGTCGGGGAAGACCGGTCCTTCCCCTCTCGACTACACGAGAACCTGACAGTCACATCAAATATAGACGCTTTGGGCTCACTTCCATGACACTAGGCGGTGATGGCTCGAGACTCTACACATTATGTCGCGATGGTACCGTGTACGCTTATTCGACATCTCATCTCATCCTCGGACATGCACCGGAGCTCTCTTTGAACAATGACCGCCCACGTCGTTCGGGTGGGTCCGACAAAGAGGGTCTTGGTCCCCTGTACGGTTTCCGTCATCCGCGTTTGCAAGTTGCGTCGTTCTATGTCAGGACCGCGGTTCGAAAGGCCACTGGTGATAAGCCGGAAATGCTGGCTGTTGGAAGTAGTGACCAGTGCGCTGTTCTATTTCCCACCGATGAACGATTTCTCCATTCCGCTCCCAAACCAGCTCCTGAAGTTGATCTTCCTCGGAACCCAATGCACCTCACTCGCTCTGGTTTACGCCGTTCAAATTCTGGGGCCGGCCTGTCCGGGAAATTGGAAGATACCATACCGATCTACCAATCTGGAACGCCCTTGATCGAGGGTCACAAGAAAGAAGTCTCGGCTGTGTCGTGGACTGTAGATGGAGAGCTCATCACAGTCAGCGATGATTACAGCGCCAGATGCTGGCGTGAGGGGCCCGATGCCAGAGACCTTCGGATAGGTGGTGAGGCGGAAGGTAGACGATGGCGGTGTGGATGGTCTGCTATGAAAGACTCATATGATGACGAAGATGAATGATTTTCTTGCGAGGGTTAAGGATTGATTGTTTAACTTTGTATTGTTCTTCAAGCACTATGGCGTCACGGTTTACTTCATTGTCAGTTAGCGGGCGTTTTATTCTGTTTTAGATGGTTTTGTATGGCGTTGCTTACAGAGTACATGGCATAGAGAGGTGCTTGATGTATAATGGGGGGTTATCTACTACTTGTTCATGAAACTTTTCCTATTCGGGGGGAGATACGACTGTAAGATTTACAAGAATTGGGTCGCATGTCTGGTTAATACAGTGACTTGATACTGTTGGAATCCATCATCATAATAGTGTGGTTTACTTTTGATTAAAGTCGGTAGTAGACAAGTTCGACCTGCCGTGTGAATATGTGCTCATACCATCTTATTATACTTTTCTTCTTCACCCTTAGTCTAGAAACTCCATGTGGAAACACGTAGATAGCATGCAAACAACCTTAAAGGTCAAATTAGTGGCCATGTCCGTCATCCTCCTTCACTTCTGGGTCCAGCTTGATCATGGTATCAATACGCATGATGGCAATGCAGGCCTCAACAGCACTCTTAAGCTGCTTGATCTTGCCCATACTGGGCTCCAGCACACCAGCCTTAAGGGTATCATGAACCCGACCCTTCGTAAGGTCGAGACCGTAGTTTCGGTATGTCTTCTTCTTAGCGATGGCCTTCTCCTCCTCATTGGCGTCACCATCCTGCACGCGTTGGGAGAGAGCGTGGCGGACACGAAGCTGGGCAACAAGTTCGGACGAGTCCTTAGCAGCGTTCACAGCCAGGGTCTTCGGAACAATCAGAAGTGACTGGGCAAATTCACCGATGGCGAGCTGCTCCCGGGATCCCTGTGGAAAGAATAATCGTTAGTGATAATTTTCATGCTAAGTATTACGGTCAATGCTTACTACTGTGACCGCAAATTCTTCAAGGTAAATGTGAAGGGCGGTCTCGACGGCACCACCTCCGGGAACGATGCTACCGCTCTCGAGGGTTCGCTTGACAGCACACAGAGAGTCGTGCACCGAACGCTCCATCTCGTCCAAGCTGAAGTCGTTGGGTCCACGGAGGATGATAGAAGCTGAGGTGTGAACCTTGGTACCCTTGACAAGGATACACTCATCATCGGATATCCGCTCCTGCACAACTTCGTCCGCATGGCCGAGGTACGAGGCCTCAAATTTCTCATCTCCGTTGAGATCAGAAAGCGTGCTGACCAATGTCGCACCGGAAGCTTGGCAATGCGTCGCAGATCCTCTTTCTTGCAGCGGCGAACGGCCATGGCTCCCCTCTCAACAAACAGCTTCAAGACCATGTCATCGATACCCTTGGTAGTGAAAATAACATTTGCCCCAGACTTTAGAATCATCTCAACACGCTCAATGACAATGCCAGCTTCCCTCTCGCGAATCTTCTCTAGCTGATCGGGATCGTCAACAGTAATCTGTACACCAAGCTTCATTCTCTCCTTTTGCAGGTTCATGTCCAGACAAGCAATCTTGGCATCAGTAATACGGGTCTTCATGGCTTGAGAAGCCACAGTGCAGTTAAGAGCATAGCCATTGACAAGCATTGACTCCGTACCACTTTTTCCGTGAGCCTTAAGAAGGTTGACTGCCTTGACGGGGTACTTGACCTCGTTCCTCTGGTTTGTCGTCTTCACAAGGAGCATCGCATCAACAACCATATTCGCAAAGAAATCCGCATCCGAGCCAATAATCTTGGAAGACATCGAGGTCTTAGCAATGTTGACCAGGCTGTCCTTCCCCAGCGTCTCGACCTTTGTGGTGATGTTCTCATTCATATACTTGACAGCTTCTCTGAGCGCGAGTCTGTAGCCGTTGATGATGGTGGTAGGGTGTATACGGTTCTTCATCAGTTCGTTGCCTCGTCGTAGGAGTTCTGCAGCGATCAGAACGACAGATGTCGTTCCATCTCCGACCTAGATGGACATCAATATTGAGCTGTCAGGCGAGACAGACGGAGTGTGACACTAACCTCCTTATCCTGCTGTTGAGCGAGATCTACGAGAATCTTACCCGCAGGATGCTCAATATCAAGAAGACTAAGAATCGTCGCACCGTCGTTGGTAACAGTGACATCCTAAAGTGCTGTCAGAATGCCAGTTGAAGCACGCGGGGTTGAACGGTGCATACTCCTATATCATCCACCATCATCTTGTCGAGACCGGAGGGGCCGAAGGAGCTCTTGACGACATTTGCGATAGCTTGGGTCGCGAGCACTACACACGCGTTTAGCACCTATATTCAATCGAAGCTAGTTGAGATGAAAAGTCCCTAACATACCGTTCTGCTCCCGAACGTCAGGGCCGGTGATTTTCTGCCCACCCAAGACTGTGCGAATATGGTCAGCTAATGAATCCGACGGATGGAGGGCTTTGAGGGGGGATACACACAGAGAGTGTCCGCATTCCGCGGCTGCTCAAAAATGCCTGCCATTATTGTGAAACTGAGGAAAAGATACTGCTGGCAGAGTTGTAGAGCTCCGACTCCAGTTCGTCGTCGTTGATGCTCGTCGTGCTTCCGCTAAGAATTCTGCCGGTTCCTGGCGGTGAAGGTTTTCTAGTCGCATCCCACTTTAACGAGGGGTTCCCTTCCTCTCCACGGATCTATAATCTCGCCTCCGCATTTTTGGTTTATCTTGGTCCTTACTACTCAGCAGCTCCTTTACAATATGGCGAGCCAAGCTCCTGCTGACACCCCGGTCGCTTCTGACGCGGCGGTAACTCAGACCCTTCCTGACCGCACCCAAAACCCCGCTGATAAGGATGCTCCCCAGGGAGATGTCTCGAAGAATGCCGCGAAGAAGGCCGCAAAGGCTGCAGAGCTTGCCGCTAAGAAGGCTGAGAAGGCTGCCAACAAGGCTGCTGGAAAGCAGGAGCCCAAGAAGCCCGCTGCTGCGAAGGCCCCGAAGAAGAAGATCGAAGGTGCTGCTCTGATTGGTATTGATGTCTCCAAGGAGGAAGATTTCCCAGGATGGTACCAGCAGGTTCTTACAAAGGGTGATATGCTCGACTACTACGACGTTTCGGGATGCTTCATTCTCAAGGTGAAATGCCTCTTTTTCAATGGGTTTCTAGAGCCTCCATACTGATATGACTCAGCCCGCTTCGTACTTTATCTGGGAAGAGATTCAGGACTGGTTCAATGCGCGCATCAAGAAGATTGGCGTAAAGAATTGCTCGTTCCCTCTGTTTGTCTCCGAGGATGTCTTGAACAGGGAAAAGGATCACATTGAAGGCTTTGCTGCTGAAGTTGCTTGGGTGACTCATGCGTACGGTTCCTCCAGACCCCCACATATGTGCCGTACTCCTGTGTGGCCTATTTACTAATGTCTTCTCTTTGCTTGCAGTGGCTCTACCCCCCTCGAGAAGAAGATTGCCATTCGTCCGACATCGGAGACGGTTATGTACCCGTACTACTCCAAATGGATCAGAAGTCACCGTGACCTGCCCCTCAAGCTGAACCAGTGGAACTCCGTCGTGCGATGGGAGTTCAAGAACCCCCAGCCTTTCCTCCGAACCCGTGAGTTCCTTTGGCAAGAAGGACACACGGCTCACTTGACAAAGGATTCTGCCCATGATGAAGTTATGCACATTCTCGATCTGTATGCTCTGATCTACAAGGAGCTCCTGGCTGTCCCCGTGGTCAAGGGTCAGAAGACAGAGAAGGAGAAGTTCGCTGGTGGTTTGTACACCACTACCGTAGAAGGTTACATCCCCGCCACTGGCCGTGGTATCCAGGGTGGTACCTCCCACGGTCTTGGCCAGAACTTCAGTAAGATGTTCAACATCACCGTCGAGGACCCCTCCGCCAAGGCCGATGAGAAGAAGCCTCCTCTCCACGTGTGGCAGAACTCCTGGGGTCTGTCTACCCGTACCCTTGGTGTCATGGTCATGATCCACAGTGATAACCGTGGTCTGGTCCTCCCCCCTCGTGTCGCAGACACCCAAACCGTTATTGTCCCCGTCGGTATCACTGCCAAGACCAGCGACGAGGAGCGCCAGAAGCTGTACGCCGAGATCGACGGCCTTGTCGACGTCCTGACTGGCGCCGGTGTCCGCGCTACTAGCGATCTGAGAGAGGGTTACTCCCCCGGCTGGAAGTTCAACGACTGGGAGCTCCGTGGTGTGCCCCTGCGCATCGAGTTCGGTCCCGGCGAGTCCGCCGGCCAATTCGTCACTGCCGCCCGTCGTGACATCCCTGGCAAGGACGGCAAGTCCAGCATCCAGATCTCCGAGCTCTCCACCGCAGTCCCCGCCATGCTGGAGCAGATCCAAAAGGATCTGTACAGCCGCGCAGAGGAGACCTTCCGCACTCACCGCAAGCTGATCACCAACTGGGACGACTTCACCCCAGCCCTCAACGACAAGAACATCTGTGTCATCCCCCACTGTCTCACCGAGGAGTGCGAGGACCAGATCAAGGACATGAGTGCCCGCAAGGCAGAGGAAGACTCTGGCGTCCCTGAAGACGCCAAGGCCCCTAGCATGGGCGCCAAGTCTCTGTGCATCCCCTTCGAACAGCCCGAGGGCATCGTCGCCGGCGAGACCAAGTGTGTCAACCCCAAGTGCACCCGGCTTGCCGAGAAATGGTGCATGTTCGGCCGTAAGTTCCCATCTAAACTTCCCCATGATATTAAAATATAAACTAACATATCCCCCCCACAGGCTCCTACTAAGCGCAATAGATCGCCTTGGTCTTATCTGCATAGATGTCAAATAGCACCTAGCAAGCGCATTAGATCGGTCACTATGAGTTTGATGACTTATTTCCTTTCATTTCTTTTTTCAGAATTCCAAGTATCCTTTTGTTGTATTTTCTGGTAAATTGGGACATCGTTGAAGTAAGAAAGAAAGACCTAGGAAAAGAGAAAGAGATGTGCATATTCCATGAGAGTTACGGAGTGGATGTGGTTGAAAATTATAATACCTTTGTGATTTACAGGGTGGGAGGATGAGTTCACATGTCATACAGTGGTTTGGAGATATTGAATAAACTACGTTGATATGATAATCTCATCTTAGAATATCTTATTGTAACTGGTTCGATATGTAGACATGGTATGCTAGCAACGCTAATATGCAACATATGCAAGAAACGGAAGGAAAAGTTCAGATAGATGCCAAGTAGGTATGCAATGCAAGAGGACATAGATCCTCATTGGATATATAAATCAACAATAAGAAAAGGCCCGACGAGGGAATAGATGCGCTTGAGAGTTTGAAAAGGACAAGGAAAGCAAAATCAAGGAAGGTATTGCAGGATCTGCAGAGTCGAAGGGACGTAAAAGAGATGTAGCTCAATATAAAGCAGGCACAGTATCGTCAAGGAGGCGTTCAAGTAAGGAATGAAAGGGTGGCGTAGAGTAAGATAGGATAGGGTATAGTAGGGTTGATTCCGTTAAAGACTGGGATGCCAGACGACTCGGGCGATTTCATGGAAAGATTCAGTAAGATGCTACTGAGTGGGTTGTGAGCCCGCCCCTTGAGGATGATCGAGAGGGGCTGTTGTTGCTCTCGTTTGTGAACCAGTTGCCCCTGAGGCTCACGCTCCTGCCTGACCTCTGCGGCCAGCTCATCAGTCTGAATGCATTTCGTGGAGAGGTATTTTCGGCGATATAGGTCACGTTGTTCTCGTCCACACCATGGATTTGTAACTGCGGAATGCCAACACTGGGTAGTTCGATCACCTCTTCGTCACTGTCTTCTGCTGAGAAGCTGATGTGACTGTTGATAGACGATGTAGATGCCTGTGCACGCATGTGGAAAACGGAAGGCGTTGGGTTGGCGCTCTCAAGAGACACGGTAACCGGTGGCTGGGGGTTACTGAAGTTCCTAGCCGTATCTGATGTTCTCCCCGAAACACTTGCAGGGGACTTCCTCGTCTTGGAAAGGAGATCTATGTATGCCATTGGCTCTTTAGGTGCTTGGTTCTGTTCCAAAGTATTGAAGAAACCAGGTGAAGGAGGGGGAGCATCAGTGTGCCTTCGCCGACTGGTGGGCTCCGATGACTTCCAGAAGACTTTCGAAGGAACACTGGTGGATATGCTCCTGCGCGCGTCAGACCCTCTCCTGTGTTTCCTGAAGGAGCCCCGACTGATCAATTTGGAGATCTGTCCCTCTCGCAGAGACATGGTCCGGTTCGTGCTTGGAGCCTCGGTCTTTGGTGCGTCGATTTCTGGATAGATCTGCTGGGAAGAAGGAGTGAAGGGAGGCCCGGATTCAGGAGGCGGGACCCGTTGGAATGCCTCGTGAGAATTGATCTCCCGAATGATCGCATCCTGAAGAGTTTCATAAGTAGGATGTGGCGAGATAGCAGGCGACGAGGTATACGCCTGCCTAAACATATCCATTATCTCTGCAATTTTTTGGTCCGACTGAACCCCTGGTGATGGAGAGATTGGTGACCCAGCTGGGAGTGGGCTGTTCATAACCTCCGCAATGCTAGGGTTCTGCTTCATCCCCAAGCTACCTGGAGTAGGTGGCTGTATGGCACGATGCGTAATCTTCGCAGACGGCTTTCCACGAGCTGCCAATTCTGTATCAATCGACAGATCCCGGACGTTCTTTTTGGGTTTCAATTTGTTTGCAATTGACGGATTGTGGCTACCCGAAGTCACAGAAGAACTGCGGCTCCGGCTTGATCTGGAAGGTGATGGATCTGGCATTGGGTGGCTTTCACTGGTCTCAGTATCACCGGTTACCATGGGGGGCAACGTTGGGCTGTCCGGTAACGGAGTGCTGCTCCATGTGTCGCCTTGTTTGTAAGGGGGAGGCACGCCTAGGAATCCACCAGATCTCGAAGCATCTTCCCGCTGGGGACCATTAGTTGGCTTGGCGGAAAGATTTAGCACCGATCTTTGCTGTCGGACAAGGCTTTCGGTGGCGGAGGACACATCTTGTCGCGAAGTAGTTGGCTGGTCAGCTTGAGGCGGGGTGGTAGACCTCCGAGCTTCCTGAGACACTGACCGAGCCAAACTACTACCAGCCTTTGATCGGGGGCGACAACGAGCTTCATCTTGGTGGCTCTGAGAACTCCGTTGAAAGGAGTTTCCACGAGAGCGGCTGGCGGTATTGCGAGAAGATGGACGGCCACCCCTCCTGCTTCTGGCAATGTTTCTGTCCGCCACATCCTCTTGATATAAAGCAGAGAGTATGCGTGAGTACATAGTTGGCTTGCCCGACTGCCCTTGAAGGAATCGAGTCATATTTCGTTCTGCGATATCTTCATTGTACGGACTAATGGGTGACAACGTCTGCGCAGTCTGGATATGGTATCTGTGCGAAGAGAATAAAGCTTCCAGCAAGTCAACGTGCCGCGGATCTCGAGTCGTGCTACGACTCGAGGCGCGAGATGGAGGAGCTTGTGAACGTGGGGACAACGGTCGTGCCTGCAGGTGATCATGCAAAACTTCAAACTGTTTCTCGATTCGCTGAAACGGATAGTCTGGTTCTAGATATTGCGAGTTCCTCGCACTTGAAGACAGATCGTTTTCTGGTGTATTGCTTTCCCGAGTAGCTCCATCCTTAGAATTTATGGACGAGCTTTTCTCCGTTTGGAAAAATCGCTTTAGGGCAACCATTTTGGGTCAGTGTGCACGAGCAGATTACCTGAATGCTGCTCAATTCCAAATCGCAACAAAGCCCTCCGGTATTTGCGTTTAGCCTGGCGCACTCGGTAGGGCAATATGCGCGCTAGAGTATTTCTTGGTGAGAGAAACTAGCGTCTCGGACATAGATCAATGTGAGGAAAACTGTTAAAGGAAGGACGAGGGCGAAAGAAGAAAGAAGAAAGAACGAGAGAAAATAAAACCAGAATAAAGACAGACAAAGGGTCAGATTGGAAAAGAAGTCAAAGCGGGCAACCTTTTTACACGGCTCTCATGATAATATCAATGTGCACCTAGGTTTCTCCTCGCACCCTATCCTAAACTGTACGCAAGTAGTGGATTGAAGAAGGAAGAAAATCATCAGTGAAGAAGAACGACCGATCGAGGGGAACGGGAAAGAAAGAGTTTACTCCATATGCTCGAGACTTAGCCGGCTTGCAGATCCAATACCTGTTCCTGGATCCAGGGGAAGAAAATGGGCCAGTCTCCAGGATCCATTGAGCGACGGACAAAGCGATGGGGCTGAGGTCTGAATCCGCCGACGGGGAAGTCAAATGCTAGTCGGAGGCAGTCAAGCGTTAAGCCCAACGCCATGTCCAGGGTCCAAATTGATAGTCTGGTCTTGGTTCGTCTAGGTGTGTTACTCCGTCCCCCTCGGGGACCATCATGGCATCATCACCATCACAAGCATCATGCATGGTCAGCACGTTGACCAAAACCCTACATGATAATGCACACACGGTGAAAATCTTCGTTTAGAATGTGCAGGGGCCTTTTCACCCGCGGTTAAAGGCCACAGTGCAGACCACCATGCATGACCTAAAAGTAGAGCTTGAACTCCACTTGACAGCGATGCCACTCAAATTGGATCTGCACGTTCTTCGACCCAATCAGGAACGGAATGGGACAGCGTAACAGTGGGACTATGAGACTAGTGACATAGCTTGGGAGGGCAATACTTACGCTCTCACGGAGAAAGAAGTGGAACTCCATCACATTGGAAAAGATGGCGGTACTGTTGTCCGCACCAAGGACTTACTTCGGTCATTGTGGTTCTGTACCGCCCGGTACGAACAAAAGATTACCATGGGAAGTGTGAAAGAGGGTTGGAACTGGGGCTCGGGTAGGCAAATTGCGGGCCAGTCAAATCCCGAGATGCTGTGTTCGACAGCCCCCACTAGTCCCAGGTCAGTTAGACCAAGTTAGTCCGTTCCTGAACCGAGGTTTCGTTCGCATATCATCAGCCGGTGATCGTCAACAGGTGATTTAAATAGGGCCAGCTAAAAGGGGGGCTTCAGTATCGCTCTCGTAGGAGCCGAACTTCCACGACTACTAGTACTAAGTACGACTAGTAATTTCCTAGGACCAAGCCACTGGGAAAATTCAGTACGTAGTACGTACATAATTACGGAAATATCATGGCGGACACTCCAACCACGTACCCTATTCCGGTTGTTCTTCGAGATTGGCAACTTCCGAGCGACGGTTGTTGATCAAGGAAGACGGTAAGATGATTAGCGATATCCGCTGATAGTCAACCTTTCACCCTGGCCTGCAGATTACTTCCATGCTTTCTTTTTCCTCCTGAGGACTCGTGTCGAAGGCCACATTGGGTTAGTTTATCCTCCAGGCGGGCCCTGCGTATATGTGACAGCTCCTGCATGTTTCTCATCTTGCGTTAGGGTTGTGAGCGTGCTAGATTGCATATCGCACGGAAACACTCCGTGAACACCAGTTTGGGGGAAGTCTATCGAGGATCTCAGGGAGATGGAACCATAAGATCCCGGAATAAGCCCGATGAGTCTAGGAAGCGAGATGGCGAACGATCTAGATGGGGGGAGAATACCGAAAAATAGGAACAACGAACTAAAACAGTTCTTTGGTGCCTGCGGGAGAACTTCCGATTGCTGTACTTCGTCCACGGAAGAGCCATCGCCAATAATAGACCTGTTAATAAATGAGAGTCGAGATCCACAAGCACACAGAACTTGTTGATTACAGGAAAGTTACGCATGTGTGTAAACTTCCCCTGAGTATCCGTACTCCGGAGTACTCTGTGCTGAGGTCTCCATTCCTCGGGGACCACATCAACCGTTGAAGCGGCGGCACGAAAGGTAAAATTTG